TTGTCTCAGTGAACACTTGAAGCAAAAAAGGCTTCTGCAGTGCTAGAATCCTCACAGTCCGCGTAGCTTTGTTCTTCTTCACCCTCAGGTATTCAAATGGAGTGGGGAGAATACTTACTTCATCAACGGAGACATGACCTCTCTGGAGCTTGGAGGTGGAGGGTAAGCGAATGTTTGCTTCTTTTTCAAGTAGTCTAGCTAACTTTTTTCTTTTTCTTAAGGAGGATAAGGACCATGGTAGTTGCAGGAAAAACTAACACTGAAAATTTTAGTAAACTGTGTAGGACAGATATCTCAGCAATCTGATATCTGTTATAGACCTAGAGCAATTTCCGTCACTTAAAGATAGCAACTGATGTTGGGCAAGTAATCTTTAGTGGATGGGGGAGGTTGGAAAAAAACAGATGTTTGGGATAGAGACACTTCTCATTGCTGAAGAGGTTTGTTGCTAGAAGATAATCTGTAATGGCAGTTTTGCCAGCAATATCTAGTGTTTTTCACATGGCGCTTTTAAACTGTCATAATTCTGTTGCTCTGAAGAGCTAGGATACAGATAGTGCTTAATCAGGTCTTCAGTTTCAAAAGTTAGTGGATACGAAATCAGGGGCTAAGACTGTGCAACTAACTGAAGCTGACAGCAGGCTGCCGCGTGCAATATCTGGCCGTGGTTTGCACTGGGGATGCATAAACATCTCTCCTCCTAAACTGGAAGGGACCATGTCTAGAGCGGGGAAAGCTCCCTGCTGTCTGTGCTTTGCAGCAGCTGGACTCCAGCCATGTTTGGGAGGCTGCTCACCAGCAGCACCTGGAGCTGATGGCACTGAAGCCAAGCACGTAAGGCACTGTATGTGCACACTCATGCTTGTGCTTTGCTGCGATTTGCCTGTATGAACAAAAGCAAGCTTATTTGCAAGTGCTTTGCCAGGGTTAAGCCTTCATGTTCAATCCCATCTGTTCTCAGAATTGCCTACTTTTCTCCATAGCACTCCTCTACAGCCTCTGGTTAAATATAACCTGACATTTGGTGTGTATTTTTTTAGTGGACGATTTGGCTTATGGTTAGATGCAGACCTGTATCATGGACGAAGCAACTCCTGCAGCACCTTCAATAATGACATCTTATCTAAGAAAGAAGATTTCATAATACAGGATGTAGAAGTATGGACATTTGAATGAAGTACTTACTGACTGCCTTAAGGACTGGATCCATTAGGCACTCAAAAGCTAAATAAAAGGTGCAGGCTGCCTCACAATGTTACACGCTTTTTTTTTCCCCTCATATCAGACCAGAGCATGACTACGCAAAAAATAACCAAGGAAAAACAGCTGGTTTTCAGAGGCAGAAGGAGATGGAACAATACAAGATCAGTCAGATTTTTTTTTATACTCCTTTCTTCTATGCTCCTCCATTGAAGATATGATGCTTATGAAAACATCGATGGTGTATAAATTGAAAACTTTTTCTGTAACTGTGGAAAAAAAAATACTGTGGGAAAACTATACTTGTCTTGTACATTCCATATATATTTATGTTCAGTGTACAAATGCTAACCAAAAATAAAAAGTTACTTCACCAAAATCTACAGCATATTGTTTGCCATGGAAAAGAATCATAAGTAGGTGTACACAGCACTTAAGGGAACATGTTTTTAAATTCTTTTTATTTATTGTTATTGTATAGCAGACTTTTTTGTAAATGCATTAGCTATGAGGTGGGTTTTTTTTTCTTTTTAATATTTCAGATCTTAATTTGGTAAATAATTACTATTCAGGTAGGTTTCTTATGCATCAGCATTTATTTTGACTCAATTTATTTGATTTCTGAAGTTAATTTTTATTTTATTTGTAAATGAGATTTGGTTTTCATTTAACCCAGATAAGAGGGTTTATTTTCTGGCAGAAACACTTGAGTGCATAATTCTGGTTTTCTCTGAGATGAGAGAAAAGGTGGTTAGCACTTCTCATTAACAGGAATGTGTAAGCAGAGTTAATAGATTATTATTTTGGCAGTGTGTGGAGACACTGGGCAGAATGCCACCTGGTGTAGGCTGTATGAGCTCTGGTGCAGTCAGCAGAATTGGGACAGCATGCTCTGAGCGTCTGTCCTCGTGCTATTTGACTGGTTACAAGGGATGTTTCTAGGAGATGATTGTTTCCTGTATCACCACCAAATGACTCAAAATAAACCACCCACTGTGCTTTTTCTGAGCATTTCTTTACATGTTGAATAACTGCTTTGTGAAGGGAAACACACAGCCTGAAGATTTGGAGAATGCTGTTTCTTTAACAGGCCGGGCCATATTAGTGTAGTATTTGTTTTCTTAGCAATTAATATTATTTCCTTCCTTATGACTTGAAGCAACATGCTGGATTAGGATTTGACAGACAAATAAATACTCTTCCTTGTTTTGTGCTTTTTTTTCATGAAATAGTCAATCAGATAATTTTCCTATCAGCATTTAAAATACCACATTACAATATTTGGCTAAATCCTAACCCGACCACTGCCATGAAAATGTCAGCGAGTAGAAAAAGTGTGACAGAAGACCACCAGTCTTGCTGTTTTCCGAAGAATTTTGCTTTCCAGTTAAGCTATGGTTTTATTCACACAAGTTCTGACCAAACACTGTCCTGCCATTAGTATTGAATGTAGGATTGTCCCGATAAAGACAGGTTTTAGCAATGGTGGTTGTGTTTCCATGCATTAAACACTATAGTCTGGTTTTGAAATATTATTGAGTAATACAACTCAGTTACTGCTCTTCTCATTTTTAACATATTCATAATAAAACAAGAAGCCAAATTATTTTTTTTTTCAAAAGCATTAATAAATCCTAATCCTGCACATAAATTTCACAATCTAACACCAATGCTACACACAGTGAGCCTGTAACATGCTGCACATAAGCTTTTCACACTTCCCATCTATGCGCCCTACTACAGCCATAAACAGACTTACTGGTAATGCGCTGTGAAGTATTTTCCAGGTTGCTGATAGCATTGAAGGCACCAGGAATACACAGTACTGTTTGCTCTTCTGATGGTGGCAGACCACTTACTAGTTCAAAAATAAAAAGTCTACAACCCCAAAGCCAAGTTCAACATTTTACACTCGTTTCACCATTGTTACCTACAACTTAGTTCATTATATTATACTTGTCAGAGCATATCTAAACGCTGTGTTCTATATCCAAGCAGTGTTGTTCAATCAAATTCTGTGACCCTTGAAACTATGAATATTGAATATATGTAATGCAGTGCTATCACAATATTTTCAATAAAGGAATTTATGCATTCAGAAACTCGCTGCAGATCCTTTTCTTCTTATTCACAGCTTTTAGTACATTTTTAAAGTGAAAGGATATGGCTTGTGAACATCATTGCTGTATGGGCCATCTTCATACTGCTGAAGTTTTTGTGTTTTGTTCTTTCCAAGTGAGACAAAGCAAAAAATCACCTGAAAGCACTTGGTTCTCAGCTTTGTCAACGTACACATTTAGTAGGTAAAGAAAATTGGCATTAGGAAAAAATAAACTATGATGTACATTTTAATATAGCAAGTATGCTTTTGAACATTTCTTTGAATGTTGCCTTGAGTGCAATGGTTGTAGAATTTTTATATCATATAAATTAAGAGGAAAATTATAGTTGCTAGTAATTTTGCTCTTATAGCCATAACTATTTTAGAAAAAGCTTGTTTTTGCAATGTGGAGCATGTATATACCTTAAGGGATAACAATTTTTTCTTTGGGACTGTATAGAAATGCTCTTCACAGTAGGGCTGCTAAGTGTCCTGTGAGGCACTGGTGGTTGATGTTGATTTGCAGTTCTTTCACTGGACTTTTTTGTGCAAAGCTGGCTTTAGAGCCAAGTTAAAACACACCTGTTTCCCAAATAATCTTTGCATGTAAACCTTAAGATGTAGGGATCCTGGAAGCCTCTCTCTCTACAGAGAGGTGGTGACACACTGGAACAGGTTGCCCAAGGAGGTTGTGGATGCCTCATCCCTGGAGGCATTCAAGGCCAGGCTGGATGTGGCTCTGGGCAGCTTGGTGCGGTGGTTGGCGACCCTGCACATAGCAGGGGTTGAAACTAAATGTTCACTGTGATCCTTTTCAACCCAAGACTATATGCAGTAACTTGAAAGGAGGTTGTGGCAAGGTGGGGGTCAGCCTCTTCTCCCAGGTAACAGTGATAGTATGAGAGGGGATGCCTCGAGTTGTGCCAGGGAGTTTTCAGGTTGGATATTAGGATGGATTTCTTCTCAGAAAGAGCATATGGGCATTGGAACAGACTGCCCAGGGTGGTGGTGGTGGTCACCATGTCTGGGGCTATCTAAGGGTAGATGCAGTACTAAGGGAGCTGTGGTGTCCGTCCTGGCTGAGCTCGGGTAGCAGCTCTCATGAAACAGAGGGAGCACAAAAGGGGACATGGTTTAATGAGCAATATTTGTGGTAGGCGGATAATCACAATAGATGGTCTTAGAGGTCTTTTCCAACCTTAATGATTGTGTGACTGATTCTAAGTGCCTGGCACTTAGGTACCTCGGGCTGAGGCCTGTGGGACTGTGAGCAAGCTGAGAAAACGTTTCTAAAGCCGAAGCTTAGCTACTACTGAGAAATAGCATCTTTCAGCTTTGATTTAAACAGGCCAGAGTGTGTTCAGTTTATTTTAGATCCAGTTTGTGCCTTTTTACAGAAAACTTATGCTGAACAGCGGCTGCGTTTTGCTTCAGAGCCTCGACCGAATGAAGTGCTTTACACGGCTACGGACACCCGCGGGTGCCGTGCGCAATTCTAAGCGCACGTTACCTCGGCCCGTGTCAGAGAGCCGCTCAACGCCCAGCGCTCACTCGCTGCAGCCCTCCGTGCCTGACGGGGGCGCGGACGAGGCCGGGCCGGTCGCGCGCCGCAGGGCCGCCATTGGCTCACGCCGCGAAGACGTGAGGGCGGGTGGGCCCGCGGCCGGTCGCGGGGCGGTGCCTGCCTAGGCGAGGGGCGATGGCGGGCGAGGAGGCCGCGGCCGCCGCCGGCCCGAGCAGCGAGCAGCTTCTGGCCGACGGGAAAGAGCTCGCGAACGGCGGCTACGACGGCAAGTGCGTATTCTGCAGGATCGCCCGCCGGGAGGAGCCGGGAACCGCGCTGCTGCCCTGCCAGGTGGGTAGGGGCGGCCCCGCCGGAGGGAGGGTCGCCGCCGCCGCCCTCGTTGTCCTTGGCAGCGCGCTGCCCCACGCCGCGGCCGGCTCCCCGCGGTGGGGTGGGTTGGTGGGACGAAGCCGTCGGTCCGCAGGGCCGGCCTGCGGCGTGAGGCGGCAGTGCGGAAACGGAGCTGCGGTGTCCGTCCTGGCTGAGCTCGGGTGGCAGCTCTCACACAGAGGGAGCACAGAGGGGTTCGCTTATGAGAACTGCCGATCAAACCGAGAAATCCTGCGTGTATGGAGGCCATCTGATCCCCGTTCCCTTTCTGAGGAAGGTGGTGTCTTTATTTCCAGCTAACGGAGGGTGTCACCTTAGGGATCCCTGTCCTGGGGTTACCATGTAGCCATAGCAGTTGTCCTTATGGAGGCAGCAATGAAGCATTCCTCAGAAAAAAAAAAGAAATGTCTTGTCGTTGTTGTACAATGGCTAAAAGTCTAAGGGCGGTCATGGGGCAGGAGCTGTTGCTGTTAGATACTGAGGGATTTTGGCTGCACAATGTCAGCGGAGAAAACAAGACTGCGCCTAAGTGCTTCAGCAGGCAGAGTCCAGGACGGTGTGCTTCAGTGTAGTGACAGAAGAAAATAGGCTTTAGTCTTGATATGTTTGCTAGTTGATTCAAATATGATACCAAGTAATATCAAGCTGGTATAGGGCAAGACCAACTCTGTTACCTGTCCCCATCCCGATCGTGTGATGTGTTTCTATTCCTTTGCAGTATGAAGACCTTGTTTGCTTTAGAGATATCAGGCCTGGTGCCCCTCACCACTACCTGGTGGTGCCGGTAGAGCACATGGGAAACTGCAAAACGCTGAAGTCAGAGCATGTGCCCATAGGTAAGGCTGAAAATATGTATTAGTCTGCTTAGATCAGGGGCAAGTAGTTTTTTCACAGTCTTATGTAGTGTGCTGTCAATTAAATTACAGCTTTGGACATCTATTTTTTGTGGTTGTAAAACACTGAAATGCATGATGTGAGTTGGGTAGGGAGTTACTCTTGCTGGGAAGCTCCTCATGTTTTTTGTGCTATTCTAGGGTAATATTGTGCTAATACAGGAAATCTGTTTTTGTTTGCATGGAGTACAGATGTTTCTGCACTTTGCTGGGAATGCCACTGTATTTTTTTTAAGTATATTTATTCAGCTTCATTGGATTTTCCTAGGTATACAGGGTACTGGAAAAAAAAATGACAATTCTATAAAATACTTGTTTTATAATATGCCGTGTTGTTCTTTGGGAAAAGAGATGGAGAGTAAAAAAGACAAACAGTGTTCCAATGAAGTTAGATATCTTTTTTAAAGATAAGGTCGTAAGATATTGAAGCTGTGATGTGTTGTCTGCATACTTGATTTTTTTTTTTTGTTATTGTTGTTGAAACATCATCCCAGATGTAGTTGTTTCACAAGAAATGCCCAGCTAAGTGTGTTGAGTAACAGGAAAAATTAAATCCATAAATGCATGAACAGATTCTGCTTTGGGGAAAATGACAGGTGCTGCAAGAAAAGCATTGCAGTCGTGTGTTGCAAATTTTTAAATCATCTTATTTGATTTCTTAATGTTGGAGTTTTCTCCAGAAACAACTTCAGTATGTTTTTGCTTTATGACAGTTACTTTATGCATCTACCTTGGACGTTTTTGCATTAGGCTTTCTTCTCTTTTACAGTAATGAAAACTTTGTCCTAGTAATAAGTAGGGCTGATGGTTTAATTGTACTTTAATTTTTGTTTCATATCTGAAACTTTCTACTGCCAGACTACAAAGGGCATAGAGGTCAACGTCCTGTTGCTGTGTAGAGACGTAACATGGGATTAGTAAACTATAACCTAAAAGTGTCGTTAGTGTCTAAATCACTAACAGTAGTGATTTTCACATCAAACTCTGCACTGCAGTGCTTTGACAATCTGTTTTATTATGAGCAGTTTCAGTATTTCTACTTTGAATAAAGCAAACACTAGCTTGTGTTCTCAATGTAATCATTGTTGAAGTTAATATTCGGTTTTGTTTCTTAAGAGCACCTGCTTCAAACTGTTTGACTCTGAAGTCAGGTGATATGTAAAATACTATTTAAGCTAAACAGTAAATGAAATTTGTTTGTATTTAATAGTGAAAAGAATGATGGAAGTTGGAAAATCTGTTCTCCAGAAAAATAATTTTAGTGACTTGAATGATATAAGGTATGTACTTGAGCCTTCCACATTAATTAGTATGTTCTTAGTTTTCAAAATGCTATTTTAGATACTGTGTTACAGTTGCAGTGTGATTTCTTGGGTTTGCCTTGACTTATGGAGTGACTTGTTCAGTCTCATGTCCTGGCACTGAATATAAACTCTTTTTTTTCTGATAAGTTTCCAGTGTCGATTGCATTCCAACTTTGAGATTGTTTCCTGCACGCATGCAGAATAGGGAGGCCAATTCACACAGCTTATCTAAAAGGCTGCTCTTCAGCTCTGTGCTGTGTTGAATCCAGTGGTGGATTCCGGGAAAGATAAATTTTGTCACTTTCACCGGGGCAGTGCCCTGTGTTTCAGAGTTATACCTGCATTCATTTCGTTTAAGCCAGTGCTTGGTAGCCAACGTGATGTGAGTTGTAACATAATTTAAATAATGTAGAGTGCATCGAGATGGGTCTTCCTGTTTAAAATAGGTAGAAGCTACATGAATGTGGCGATAGTTCACTTTCCAGGTGAAAAACAGGTAAAGTATCTAAGGAATATTGCTGGTTTTTAACCCTTGTTTTAGCACAGTGTGCTAGATGGATGTGAAATAAGATTTTGATGGTCTTTTGGGGGGTTCTGCATGTTGAAAGGAAAGGACAAATTATTTTTCATGCAATGTAAAAAGAAAATGTTATGAGTAAATTTCTTTATTCGGTTGATCTTGAATGTAAGATGTTCCACTTCCTGTATTAACATCACTGGTGTTTTTAACTTGTTTTCCCTTTCTGAAGAATGGGTTTTCACTGGCCTCCATTCTGCTCAATATCCCACTTGCATCTGCATGTCTTGGCCCCAGCAAGTCAGCTAGGATTCTTATCCAGACTGATTTATAGGATCAACTCCTACTGGTTTATTACAGTAAGTGTGATGAGGTTTTTAGAGATTCTTGACTGCAAGTTGAAAATGCGATGTCTTTCTAACATCCCAAATATTCTTTGAGCAATTATTTTTTATCATTACTATAATTATTTGTTATATTTTGCATTACCTATTTGAGAACAGGCAATGGGTAAAATTTAATACCGTTTGCACTTACTAATGGAAATAAGAGTGACTAACATTACCAGCAAACCGTGCAGTAGTTCTGGATTTAAAGCGTAGCTTTGTGATTTGCCTCTGACTATTTATTTAATATGAAAAGATTTATTGGAATGTGATGGTTGAACAAAGACACATATAACACATAGCCCAATTTAGGTGAAAAATATGGCCACCTAACGGGTGCTTTTATCATTTCATACGTTTTTTACTCATCTCACCATCCTTAAAGTGAAACAAATGTTTGCTGTACCGAAGCACTGTTTGTACTGTTTACTGTCTGTAGAGATTAGCAAGGAGATTGAATTGGCACTGCCTAAATCACTGCTCAAAAACCTCTCTCCTCAGCAGAGGACCTGTCCTTGCTGGAGTTTTAGCTCCAGCATCCTGGTGTCATTAGGCAACCCCAAGGCAAAGATGCTGATAAAAATCTCTCCTAAAGATGATTATGGCAGCCTGTTTAAGAGGAAAAAACTCAGCTTCTTTGTGGTGGTAGCTTGTTGGAGATCTCACCTGTCTTGAATTAAGCAGATCAGTCTGTAGTGTAGCAGAGCACCACAGAGGGAAAAAAAAACCAAACCTATGGCTTGTCTAGTTATACTGCTTACTATTTTGGATTAGCTCAGGGGTCTCCGTACCAGGGTTGGTTATCCACTGTGGATTCAATCCAAAAGAGATTTTGCCCAGTTGTCAAGTTGGAAAATGTTCTTGAATTGTCAGGGCTTTTTTTAGTTGCATACAATGCAAATACCTAAAAATGTAACAGTCCCAGCTATGTGGTAGATGCACAAATCATATGACAAAGAAAAGCGTGTGTAGGCCTAGTGACATAACCAAAGACTGAATGTTTCCAGTGACACAAACAGCACACAAATGCTCTCCATCACTCAGTAATATGTATGACTACAGTGCAGTTGTAAGGTGTGAAGAGGCCACAAGATGCTGTTCTGGAGAGTGTCCCAAGGAATTCCAGTTCTTACAGGTTGGTTGTTCTGGGCGCTGTCTTCCCAGGTCCTTAAAACGTGATAGTTTAACAGTGATTACTTTGCTCAACCATCTTCTGACTTTCATAGTTGTTGTTTTTTGTTTGTTTGTGTTTTCCCTTTTCTCATCACCTAGTGGGAGTTTAGTGAAAACACGACAAAGTCAGCTGCTTAAAACAGTCATGGTATTTTACTTTGTGTGCTTTATCAGTAAAAATGACAAATATATGCTGTCTGTCAGTGTCGTGCTGTTACTATTTTTAAAGTGCATTTTTCAGCCAGCTGACGGTCTGCTGCATAGTTAATGTGTTGTGTTCTCTCTTTCATAGGCTGAGCAACTGATTGAGCGACTGCAAACTGAAAATGCTGCCAGCTGAGAGCACTCATAGCCTTGTGTCATTAGCCATTTTATTCTTTGTCTTTGAACTCTGATTTAAGGTTGCACAGTTTGTTGCCAATTATATACCAGGATAAAAAAGGCTTAATTCCTTATGAGGAAATACTGAACATAGAGCTGTCAACCTAATTCTCACGTTTGGGTTCTTCAGAAGTCTGCATATTTCTCTGACAATAAGGAAATGCATTTTAATTACAATTTTATATATGCATATACATATATATGCATACATAATACATACACATATGTAGGCAACTTTTCCCAGTAGAATGTGGGGTATAGCAGCAGAATGCACTCTAAGGAAAGAGGTTTGTAGTGACGGCATGCACATGGTACTGAAGGTAATATTTGCTTTGGAATCTAGCTTTTATTTTAAAGATGCATCATTCTGGAATTGCAGGGAACATTTAAAGTCTTTTCAGTTTCTGTCTGTTCTTGTATGATATATTACCTATGCCTGGTTAGTAGTAGGTACCTGGTTAAAAGTACACTACTAACTTTTCTGGTGCTAAACCACTTTAATATATTGCCCATCTTACTTGCATGGCAGTGACTTAGTAAATGTTAATACAGTATGTGCCAGAGATGTGATAGTGCTAAAGCATAGAGTGTTGTTTACTTGGATGTGTAAGTGGTTGTATGTTGGACCTGCGGATTGTTCCCCTCTCATGTGCACAATATTTTTAATTAGTTTCTGTATGTTTACAAATATGTGAAGAGTTCAGAAGAATTGATTTTAAAGCACTGCTCTTCTGCGTAGTGGTAGAAGAAGTTTAAAAAAAAAACAACCACCCAGATTTTGAGATTATTCTGATATTGTTCTCACTGGAAGTCACTTGGAGATTGCTAAATGCCTTGGCTAGATTTGATTTCTAAATGAGGTCGCAAAACAAATGGGTCTTCATTACAGTGAGTTTGTAGCAGGCTTGCATAACAGCAGTCTGATCTGAATTTGGAGTAGCAGGGGCTCAGCCCAAAATCAGAACATGTAGGGATTGTGTTCTGAATTGCTTATGGAATCTGTTGAACACTTGCCCTCACTGCATGACTCTTAATCAGCAACTTTAGCTCTGTTTTTCAATACCATGTTAAGGCAGACTGTTTGGAAAGTTTAACTCAGCAGACATGGAGTGGGTTTTCTTTGTTCACAAACTATTATCTCTTGGTGCCTAATCAACCAAGTGCCCTTGGCTGTTGCACTGAGGTGTGGCTGAGGTGGTGATGGTCTGCTGCACCTGCAAGGTTCCCTGAGTATAATCTTCTCAGTGTTTTCCACTGATCCAGCACCTGTTGCCTTAGTGGACAGTGTATTACAGTAGACTATACATCATAATTCAGAAGGTAGACACTCTTCTCACTAATGTTTTCTACCCAGAAGAGTTAACGTTAGTCTTTTCTGAAGACCTCATTCCCAACGTCTTGTTATTCTTATTATTGGGCACTCATGTAGTTTGTAGTACTCTGTGTTTTTAATTGGTAATATTAGCTGTGAAGAGCGTGAATTAAAGCCACTGAACTTTGATCAATTCTGTGCAATAGATTTGGGAGGCTTGAGTGGTCTCCTAACTTCACGAAATATCTGAACATTAAGATTTTTGAAGAGTTAATACTATCTGTGTCCTGATTTCTAATTGATCTATGTAACTGTACTTAACTGTGGTATGTAATATTTAAAGAACCAACATGAACTGTTGTCCAAAAGGATAAATAAACTGAACAAATGCTAATCTTGGAATGATCCAACCATACAGTGGTGCGATCCCTCCTCACTCCTGCTCCCAGCAGGATGGGGAGAGAATGGGTCGAGGTAACAACAGTTTAATAAATGAAGGAAAGGGGGTGGAAAAAGAACAAGATTTGCAATGTAAAGGCAATAATTACCTCCTGCAAGCAGTCCAGTAGAAATGGTTAGCCTAACTGTAGCCTTCAAGAAACCTTCCTTCCATTTTTATTGCTGAGCATAGTATTGTACAGCATGGGATAACCGTGCTGGTTGCTTTGCGTTGGTTGTGCAGGTTGTGTCTCACGGCTTCTTGCCCACCCCAAGCCTAGTGGTTGGAGTGGCAGACTGGGAGAAGGAGAAGGCCTTCATGCTGTGCAAGCACTGCTCAGCAACAGAATCATGCAATCATATCATAGAATCACAGAATGGCCTGAGTTAAAAAGGACCTCAAAGATCATCTAGTTTCAACCCTCCTGCAATGGGCAGCATCACCAACCTCTAGACCAGGCTGCCCAGAGCCACGTCCAGCCTGACCCTGAATGCATCCAGGGATGGGGACATTCACAATCTCTCTGGGCAATAGTCAGAAGATTGCTATGTTAACACTGTTTTAATCACAAATAGGAAATTACACTGAGCTGCTACAAAGAAAATTAAGTCCATCCAAGCTAGACCCCAATACACTGAAATGTACGCAGCAGGAAATGTGAAGATTGACTTCTATGTTTTCTTTACAAGAAAGTAAAAATGGAGAAGTAAAAATCAGAATATAAGCTAGCTTCCAAAACTATTGCTGGCAATCGAGATGGGAATTTCAAATTGTGCCTGCCACTAGCAAATAAACCTCAAACAGGCTCAAACAAGAAGGTGCTAAATAGAGTCACATTCATTACTGAGATGAATGCTTAGCGTCTCATTAGTGTTTTCCAGCATGGAACTGTGCTCCATTTTCCTTCTGTATTGACGAGCTTTGTTCTTGGATTCAGCAGATATTTTTTAATTGGGCTAAGAAATATTTTCTGAAAAGTCTATTCTAATGCTTTGAATATGTTTCAGAATTGTTGGCTACCCTCTGGAAAAGGCAGCAGGCAGACCCTGTTCATTATGTCACCCTCTTCAACAACATTATGGTGCCATTTTAAAACATCCCTAACCTTCTGTGGAGCATTGCAGTGAGCAGAGATGGCTAAAAAACCTTGAGGAAAGTGAATTTACTCAGCAGTTTTAATCTTCAGTGGGCAAGACTGAGAAGCAAAGGAAAGTTGCTTAGCCTCTATTCTTGTTCTTTGTTCTAGCATTAGCAGTCCTGAGAAAAGCTGCTTTTTTGACTACATATTTAGGAATGACAAAGCTTCCCTTGTACTCTTACGCTCAATTGTTTTTCCTAATGCAAGCCCAGAGAATTATTATTCTGTGCTAGAGAACTAATAGCCTCCTTCTGAAAAGATGAAGTAGACACACACACAATGCTGATGCATGTAGAATTAAAAAAAAAAATAGGCGTTTTCACGAAGGACAGCATTTTCCATGTGATTAGACTGGCAATAGACCCTCTAGGTATTCTGAGGTCTTCATAAGCATGAGTTGTAAGCAAAAGCATGGAAATGTAGGCAAACTGGTGAAGATCGTGTTTGAAATTTGGCAAATATAGAAGTAAATCTGAATGGTAAAACCTGCATAAAAACTCTCTTGCTGTCATTTCAACTGCTGTGCAATATTTATTGGAGTGCTGAAAGTGCTTTCTTTGTTTGACAAGACAAAATACAGATAATTCCTGTACAGTGTACAGTCCAAACGAGGTGCAGAACTCACAGACTTCAAATCAAAGGAAGGACTGCAGAGGAAGTGGGTAAGGTTATTATAAGAAAAGTGAACTTTCAGGAGAGACTGGAAGAGCTGAATGTTACACGGTAGGACAGAAAACCTTATAAAAGTTCAAACCTTAGTAACTACTACAAACAATTTGTAATATTTTAAATGCACTCTCTTACATTTTTAGTGAATATATTAAATTCCGTTCCACCAAAGAGGATTTCTGTTGCTCTAAAGAGGCCCTGTTGCATAATAAAACTTCTAAAAACTAAAAAGCACCTGTAGATGCTAATTGAAACTACATTGCAGCTGAAGAAGCAGAATTTTGTAAAACTTGTAAGCTAGTAGCTGGATTCAGTCATGTCCATTAGATAGGGTGTGTTCTTGTCTGTACTGGCTTTAAGATGGACTTTTTTATTCTTGAGTGTATTTAGTGGACACACTGAACAATTGTGTTATCTTTTAAAGACAGCCTTTGAAATATGGGTGATTGCTGAAAGCAACTTAGATTTGTTAATCTGTGCACTGACCCACTTCGGCAAATTTTGGTGCCATTGCATGGGCACGTGAGACAGAAAGACTCGTCACCCTTCAGAGATTGTTCACCTGATAATGGCAGACAGGGAATTTGTCCCTACAGCTGTTTTCTTTTAAAAATCCAACCCCCTGTGAACCTCCTATGAATTGTGTTTTTAATAATGACTCTTTATTTTGTTCAAGATAGGGCAGTCTTCTCACAGCCACACAGTTGACAAGACCGTTTCATTTGAGCTCAACTCGGCTTCTGTTCTGAGCGGTACCCCTAAAGCTTTTGCAGATGTGCTCAAGTGATACGTAAGCTGACCCTAAGCAGCAGTACAGCTGAGGCCATGTTACGGTCTGACACTACATGCCTGGCAGTGGAAGCCTTGGTTCCTGTTGCTTATCTACTTGGGTCAGTCTTAATTAAGAATTAGTGAGTCTGCACAAGCTGGACTTGCACCCTGAGAGTGCTCAGGTTACACTGCCTCAACTGTGTGTCTTTTGAGAGTAATAGATTATTTTCCCTGATACTGCCATCCTGTAGCTGGTGATACTTGAGCTGCCCAACACTGCCTTCTCCAAGTTATGAACAACCACTAGAGCACAATCAACTGGACTGGCAAACTGTTAGAATTAAGCAGACCACACTTCACAGCTGTCTTATTAAAAGTTTGATTTACTTTGATATCAAAATGCACTCCCAGGTTTCATCAACTGGAAGTGGAAATCCACTAACTCATGCTCCTGTCGTTTGGCTAGAAATGCTTTTCCCAGAAAAACCAAAGCATTTTAAATGTGTAGCGATGATAAGTTACATAAGTCTTCTTTTAAGCTATAAATTATTTTAGAAAGGAGTTGTTTTGAGAGCTAATGGGACACAAACCAGTGGTATCTGGTGCAGCATGTATTCTCCAGTTTCCAACGTGCTGAAATGATGTGGTGATTAAAGCCCATCTTTTGTTTCCCCTCCATGCTGTACCTGCATCTGGCTTTCCTGTTCTCCAAATGGACTTACTTCACCACATTCATCTCTGGTTTTTTTTTCCATTTTTCTAGTCTTTTCACTATGAAAAGACTAGATAGAGGGATAACAAAAATTGTATTTTTACTTGCTCAGTCAAAAAGTTTATTTTCATCCAAAACCCCAATAGACAAAAAAGTCAAAAGTCATTATTATGCTTTCTGAAAAAAAAATCTTTTATGTAAATAGCATTAAATAATCACTTTTATCAAGTGCATAATTATAATAAATCTCAGTATCCTTTTGAAGCAAAAGAATATTCTTGTTTTAAAGACTCACCAAGTAGTGTACTTAGCACCACGTACACCACATAAGAGCTTTTATTTGCCCTGTTAAAAAAAAAAAAAGAAAAACAAACAGAATTTTGTATTCCCAACATTTTCTTGGTGGCAACAATTTGGAACACAGTTCCTGATTATTTTTAGTATTGTTATTACAACTATCAAACATAACCAACTTTGACCACTGAAAAATACTCCTCCAGAAGACCCTTGAGGAAAATTCTTGTCGCTCATCTCAATCCCATTTTTATCTAGCAGCTCATTTTTTCTCCCAGTTTGGAGAACTTGCAGCACAGCTCTGCCTCAACTAAATGAGGGATATGACTGCACTCTACACTTCTACTTAGGAGTTTGGCACTACAGGATCTCTACTCATTATAAACAGTATTGTTACACTTTGCTGAAAGAAGTCAAAGAGCTTTTTTTTGTTGTTATTTTTTTCTTTTCATGAATGCCCCAATATATTTTCTGTTGTCTTTCAAGTTGTTGTGTGGCACCCTACTTTTTGTAAGGGTATATTGGAGATCACCAAAAAGGCTGCAGAGCTTTGTGATCTCCCCTGGTATGACAAAGCATCAGAAGAGGAGATGAAAGTGACATGATATACAGAGGAAAAAGAACTAGGTGCAGAAGACACGATGCTAAAGATAGACCATTAAGTTCAGCAAGATGCAGCTTACTTAGGAAACATGAAATATCCTTGCTGTATATATTGTAAGCCACTAAGCAAGTGATGTTTCTGTAAACTTGGGCATTTTCACATACTTCATGAAAGTCAACCTAACTTCCATTTTTTTAGAGTCACAGCCGAGACTCTTGTTTGAAGTATATGAATTCCAATAAAAGTGCTCAATTCCATGTTTTGCAAATCAAAAAATCCCTCCCCACGGCAAGTCTTTCACAACCTCCAAGATTCAGTGCTGTTTGGTGGCAATTAGTCACTAGTGTTCAGAACCTAAAGCACTAACCCAGTGAGGATGCTTGAAGAACCACAGCATACTTGGTATTGTGACAGATTAGTTGATTTTTTTGTGATTTCTCTCCAAAATTGCTTATTATTTTTATGCAAACCATTTTTTTATGTTTCACACCCATTTTCTCTCCTTTAAATGCCCCATTAATTTGCAGAGCTGAAATTCTGCAATGAAAACCTTTTTCAAGACAGCATCTAGAGGTTTTTCCAAATGGAAACAAGCAGCAAAATTCATCAGATGCCAAAGTCTCATTCTAGCAAAGTGATGACCACATCATCATCCTTTCCTTGCCAAAGCATTTCACCTTCAAAACGAACCAGGCCGTGTTTTCTGGCTCTCAGCAAGATTCCCACCACTTTGTTGGAGATAGTCACATATGTCTCAAACAGCTGCC